AGGCCAGGATTGTGGTGGGTACCGACTGGAATAAAATAAATTCAGAGGAACCATGCAAGATACAAAGTACAAATCAGGAAATAGCGCCCAGCTCCCTTTCCACTGGGGCTGAGTAGGGCAGCCATTGACCAGGACCCACCCAGGCCCATCTTTTTCAGGTGCCCTATGCTGTAGCCTCCCTCCCACACCAATTTTGTACAGTCCTTCTCTTTTACTCCTAGGAGGTTTGGGCTCAGCCTGGGAGACTAAGGCACCTGGAGCACTAAGAGCTTGGCTGAAGCAGGGGGAGAGGACAGATTCCCCTTGTGCCTTTGACCCACTTGGCTCACCCGTTGCTTGAGGGTCTGGCACTTCCCTCTGGTCTGAGCTCCTCCTTCCCCCATCCAGCCAAAGATTTTGGTGTTAAAGGCCACTCACTCCCTAGAAGCCAATCAAGTCTCCCTTTCTGCCAGGGAGAAGGTGCCTGGAATGGCTTCGGGCAACATATACAATAGTCACATTGATTATGACACCCTTAAAGGGGAAAGCCTCTCAACATGTGTGCGTTAGAAGCGGCTGCCACTGAGAGTTTTCCATTTTGTTCCAGATCCGCCTCAACAGAATATCAAAAGGACCCTGAAGAACCTAAAAAGAGTTACAGACAAAATTCGAGAGCTTGCGCGGGAATACACACACACACACACACACACACACACACACACACACACACTGTGGTGAGTAGTGTGATTTAAAAAAATAATTTCCACTACATTTCCATCTGTCCTGCAACTCAAGGTAGCCATCTCAGGATCCATACATCAAGACATAAAACAAAGGGCGGCTTTGAAGTGGATCACCTCCGTGTGAACTGCTGCCCGTTACATGATAACCGATCATCGGCCTTCAAATTTATGGCGCTTTAATGGGGTGAGCCCAGTGCCTTAAATGGAGGGTGTATTACGTATTGAGTTATCTGGGCTAAATAAGAATGATTTAGAAGGCGCGTCCAGGGCTTCCCATAGGGTAGAGGAGGCTCAGGCTGAGAGATCGAGAGAACTCGGGCAGAGAGCGAGCCCAGCTCTGCAGCAAATATATCCCCACTGAGCAAACCCGAAAAGGAGTGGTTTCGGAATCCCCCAATAGTAAAGCCAACAGGGAGTGAAGAATCGTTGCTATGTTCCAGTGAATTAACAGAGGTGCCCAGCACAAGTCTTGTCTGCCAGAAAGAGATGTGTGGGTTTCCGAGGCCCTGGTTAGGAAAAACAAAAACAAAAACAAGGAGAGGAGCCAACTACAACCTTAGAAACATTTGAGAGCAACAGAAGCAACCGGCACATCATCGCCTCCCCCTTCTCTTTCAACTTGCCCTGACTCTACCGGCCCATAATTTACTGCGACTGCCGCGCTAGTCACAGCCCAGCGACTGCCGCCCCCTCCTTCCCCGAGCCCCTCGGTCTTTCACGGCCCCGGCGGGAGAGCGAGGGCCGGGCCGGCCTCTGAGCATCCAGCGAGCTTCCCGGCTTCCCCAGGCAGCGGCGGGCAGCGGGTCTTCGGCCCCGGCGGAGCTGCGCGCGTCCGGTCCTACGTCTGGCCGTGCAGCGGAGCTGTTCGGAGAGACCGGCACCGGCCACTTTATATAATCCCCCAGCTCGCGGGGCGCGGGGCCGGGAAAAGTGCGGAGTAGGGAATTCTTTTGCCGCTCTTCCTCCTACGCGGAGCCTGTTTTCCACTTCTGAAAAGTGCCGGGCCTTGGGAAGTGTTTTTCTTTTCATTCCTTACTGAAGCGTTTACTGCCGCCGTGCTTGCAGTCATAAATTTTGTTACAAACCACAATGACAGGTGCATTGATATGCACCGTGAGAGCTCCAGCTGCTTAATAACCCCGTCCCCTGGCCGCTGTGAGCGCCTTTTATTTATTCGGTATCATATTAGGTATTGATCCCGGGCAGAATTAAGTGCAGTGAGCAAGTATCAGGGTTCGGCTGTTTCAGAAGCGCGGCGAGTGTGGCGGTCCAGCGCGGCCCAGGCGGCGGGCGGTGGTCGCTCTGAGGCCGCCTTCCTTCCGTGTGGCTAGGAATCCTTTGGCCCTGCATTCCCAGCCTGCGGTTGGGCCTCCAAGCTGAGTTGGGCAACTTCCCGGCACCGCAAGAAAGGTCGAGTCAGACCCTGTGTAGTGCCCTTACTCTAGAAGGGGCCAGGCTTGGTGCCGGCGGGGTTCTGGGGAGCCTGCCCTGGCCGGTGCCCTGGGGGTTGAGGGGAGGAGGAATGAGAGAAAAGGGCAGCTGAGGACTTCGAAGACTGCCCCTCCCCCCGACACGGGCTAGTCTTCACCCCAAGGCATTTGGGTCCCCGAGCAAAAATGAGCAGAGATACCAAAGGGCCAGGAAAGAAAGCCTTTAAGGGGGGGGGGGGGGGGGGATCGAAAAGATGAGCCACTGAACAGTTGACCATTGTCCAAGTGATTTATGACCCATTCCTGCTTTTTAGGTTCAAGCAGAGTTCACAAGGAGTAGGGATTTCTACAAAGAAATAAGCTTTTTTATTTTTTTTAAACCAGTTTTGTAACAATATTCTCAGGTTCTGTTTTAGGAGAGGTGGCTTTTTGGGGGCATTATACTGCGGAGGCGGGGGGAGTCTGCAAAGCCCTTCCTGGTGAGGAGAGGGCTACTACCCTTGCTTCTGGGGCAAATAGACATTGCAGTGGTGGATCATCACTGAGTGGGCCTTGAAATCCCTTAAGACAATGAAAACAGAGGCAGAACAGACGCTGTGGTTATTCATGAAGCTGCCAAATATTTACACTTTTAAGGCCCAGTACACAGCTTTTCCTAAGAATATACCATAGGAAAAATATATATGTAAAGCCATCTGTTTCAAAAACCTGGTCAGTTCCTAAAGAAGCTATTTTAATGTGACTGGTCCACCTATCAAGATAACCTTGGTCAACCTGGGAGGCAAGAGGGAAAGTATTTTTGCTTCCACACTTGTAAATGAAATGACAGAAGCAGCAGTGACTTCTGGTGGGTTGAGTGTCAAATGTGGCCATTCTGATATCCAGAGGGCCCAAGGTTTAAGACTGGAAGTAGGATCCCAGAAAAGTCCAGAAACAGCTAAACCAGTCCTTTGGCTTGGGGGCAAACATATATAAACGTTAGAGGATGAGGCTGTAACTTTCCATTTGATATTCAGGAACTTTAATAGTCAGAATGACATAGAAATTGAATGAAAGAAAGATTAACATCAGCTTTGCTAGGTAGATATCTTAACCGCATACATTTCAGAACAATAATAGAAACAATTCCTAAAACATAACATCCTAGTATTCTATTATCCCATTGAAAAGGGTCTGTGTCTTATCAAGATAAATGCCATATTCACTTATTCTTTGTAACAAAATGGGCAACAATACTACCAAACAAAGGCTAATATAAAGGATTTTAAAAATTGGGTTAGGCTGTTTGGTGAAAGTGGAGGGGAAATGAGTGAATGGCAGAGTGGTTTTGGTACCAGTGGTCAAATCCTTTAGGCCACGTAAGTTGTCTAGACAATGTGGTCCATCATGATGACCATGATGGAAGCCCAGGGAGTTTTGAGGAAGGAAAGGTGCCTGAAAGAGGAGATCAAGAATTAAGACCAGGGAGCTGACCTATGAGTTTTCTTTATCAAGCACACAAAAGTGGTTGAATGCTATTAGTTATACTTTAACTCCTTAGGAGCCTTTCACGAGATGGGGGTGGAGTAGTTGACAAGGAAAACTTCCATCAAGAATCAGAGGACACAAAAGGGAAGAATTTTTCTTAGTTTTTTTTTTTTTTTTCTTCTTCTAATTCTGGGTCCATTCATCATGCCATGAGAGGTTCTCTCATTGGTTGTAGAGTGGGTGGAGGTGGGGTGCAGTGTATGATCCAGAGCAGAGGTCAATAATAATATCTGTTCACACAATTAGATGCAGGATAAAAATGATAAAGTTGTAACATGAAGCATTCTGCATTTACCCATGCTCCATGCATTTCAAATTCTAAATCTCTTTACCAAGTTTCTAGTGGTATCCACTTAAAAGTAGTGGAGGACAAAGTAAAGAGTCTAGAAAAACGTAGATGAAAGAGAAGAAACATCTTTCTAACCTCAAAATAAGTTTGGGAGTCTTTAAGTGTTCTTGGTTTTTATCTCCTGGTAGATTTCACAGTGCTGACACACAGAGTTAACTGGGTGGCTTCTCATCCCGGCACCAGAAAGTGGACTGTCTGGTCTCCATGAAAGATGCTGTGATTTTGAAACCAGGTGGGGGAGATACTTTTCTTCTTCTCCTCCTTCTCCTCCTCCTTCTCCTTCTCCTTCTCCTTCCTCCTCGTCCTCCTTCTTTTGAGAGTTCTGGCTGTTCTGAACTTTCTTTTTTCATCAAAACTGTGGGAAGACCCAAAGATTGATTGATAGGTCCATTTATTCACTCATTCAATAAGCATTTATTACACTTACTACATGTAGGGCACTGGGCTGGGTGTTAGGAATATATAGATGAATAAGACACAAGGAGCTCAAAGTCCAGTGGGAGAATCAGCCATTAAAATGTATGAGTCCGTAAGTGCTTTCCTATGCCATATCAAAAGCTATTTGACAATCTTGAAGAAAGAAAACATTATCTGGGTGGGGGTGGGGGAAGCCCCTTCTCTTGGATGGAGTTGAGCTAAAGAGTGGGAGTGGTCTTTTCATGTTTATAAGAAATTCCTTCTGACTTTTTCAAAGGTTCAAATAAGTTGAACTTCATAAAATCTCAGCTCCTTCCACTCTGAACTGGGTGGGCAGCAGAGAGCCTGGGCTAGCTGGTCCTCATACATCGACTGTCCTGTCAGTTACAGTCTCTCTGGGGCCTTTCGCTTTTCTTCTCCACAGGTCACCTGGTGCCTGCGGCTACCCCAGCCCTCTCGGGATTCGGCAGACAGTGGAGGTGGTGGTGAAGGAGACAGTGGTGGTCAATGTTATTTGAGCAGGGTCAACAGACCCTGGAACTTCCTGAGTGCACGATGCAGAAGGCTGCTTACTATGAAAACCCAGGACTCTTCGGAGGCTACGGCTACAGCAAAGCCACTGACACTTATGGCTACGGCACTCCCCATCAGCCTTACCCACCCCCTGCCGCTGCCAACTCCCTGGACACTGATTACACGGGCTCCGCCTGTTCCATCCAGAGTTCCGCACCTCTGAGAGCCCCAGCCCACAAAGGAGCTGAACTTAACGGCAGCTGTATGCGTCCTGGCACTGGGAACAGCCAGGGTGGGGGGGGTGGCAGCCAGCCTCCCGGCCTGAACTCAGAGCAGCAGCCACCACAACCCCCTCCTCCGCCACCAACCCTGCCCCCATCCTCGCCCACCAATCCCGGAGGTGGAGCGCCTGCCAAGAAGGCCAAGGGTGGGCCCAATGCTTCTGGCTCTTCAGCCACCATCAGCAAGCAGATCTTCCCCTGGATGAAAGAGTCCCGACAGAACTCCAAGCAGAAGAACGGCTGTGCCGCTGCAGGTAGCTCTCTGAGGGGGCTCATCCTGGGCTAAGTCTCCTCC